CCAACCATAAGTCCTGGCAAAAATTTTTCTCTAACGTTTTCTCATTTTGTGAATGTTACATCAATAGAATCGCATGCAGCATATAACCTTTAGAGATTGGCTTTTTTTCACTCAGCATAATGCCCTTGAAGCCCATCAAGTGGCTGGGTGTATCAATAGTTCTTTTTTTACTGCTGAATAGTGCTCCATTTTATAGATGTACTAGTTTTATCCATTTATCTCCTGAAAAACATTTAGACTGATTCCAGCGTTTGACAATTCATATTTGTGCTGAGAAGATTCTTTTGATGACAGTATGCAAACTGGGCCACAGGACAGTCAGAGTAAATGCAGAGAGACCATTAAGAAGGATACAGAAGTAGTTCAAGTAGGAAGTAATAACACCCTAGACACCTAGGGAGGTGGGGAAGAAGGTGCCTCTGACACTTTGGCTGTCAGAACTAGAAAGGTACTACTGGAATCTGGTAGATAAAGGCTGGGGTACTGCTAAAAATCCTACCACACACAGGGCAGCCCCCGCAAGAAAAAATTACTTGGCCCCAAATAGCAATGCCAAGGTTGAAAAACTTTGGCCTATACTGAAGTGGTGATAGTGGAGCTAGAGAAGAGTGGATTTAAGGAATGTTTAGGTGGTGATAGACTGGATATGGGTCAATGACTGGTGAGACACTTGACTTGCACAACTGGACAGAGATGGGTATCATTCACGTAGGGAACAATGGAAGAGGTATTTGCTTGATATCTTTCCGGGGTTAGGGTTGTGTAGTGTTTATATTGGGCATGCTGAATTTAAGTCCCTCGAAACACCCAAGGAAAGACAATGACTTGGTTTGTAGCTTAGAAACCGCCAGCGTGGGTTCCTTTATTTTACCCAGTCTCCAAAGTCATGTTCTGAGATGACTAAGAGAATACCAAGTGAAAAGAGAATACGATCCAACCAGTCATTGAAGAAGAGCCAGGCAGAAGACAAGTGTACAGAGAAGAACAAGAGATGACCAGAAAGATAGGAAGAAAACCAGGAAGACTGTGGTGTCCAACAGCCAGTGTGTTCCAAGGTAGAAACAGGCAACAGTATTAAAATCTGCAGAAACAAAGAGGATGGCATCTAAAACTTCAATGGATTTGTTAAACTGGAGATGATGTAGTGAGAGCTATTTCCATGGAAGGAATGGGGTAGATGTCCATCTGAATTTGGACTGAGGAGTGGAAGGCAAATATGCATGATCTCTTCCCAAAGCTATCTCTTCTTCATCTTCCCATTTTTCTATTAGTCATTCATGTCCTACTACAGACACTACTGAATCCTTACAATGGCTAGTGGAAGTCATCCCCAACATTAACAAATGTGTTGGCAAAAGAACTTGCCGAATGAATGCAATCCGTAGTATGGAATAATTAGTCCATTTATTTCAGCCTTTAAAAAGCTTTACTCTTTGAGAATCGGCTTAATGAGAATATTGGGTAAATTTTGTATACATAAATGTAATACCTTCTACTACTAAAGAAAAGCTATCGTGGTAAAATAACAGTGAAGCCCTAACCGATTTTGCTCAGTGGATAGAGCATCAGCCTGCAGACTTAAGGGTCGCAGGTTCGATTCCAGTCAAGGGCATGTACCTTGGTTGCAGGCACATCCCCAGTAGGGAGTGTGCAGGAGGCAGCTGATCGATGTTTCTCTCTCATCGATGTTTCTAACTCTCTATCCCTCTCCCTTCCTCTCTGTAAAAAATCAATAAAATATGTTTTTAAAAAAATAACAGTGAAGTGTCAGAGTGGTTAAAGGTTTTAGTGCTCAAGCCTGGGCACAAAAAGGAATATTTATGTATCAACGTTAAAGTGGATGGCTACTTATAAGGATACAAAAAAAAAAATCAATGGAATAATGGAGCTTTGATAACCGTAAAAGCAATTACTGTTGATGTATTACAGGTGCAAAAGCTGATCTCTATTACCAACGAGTTGAGCGCCTGAGCAGGGTCTGGGTTTTCCGTCTTTGCACTCTCAGCTCTGATCCCCAAATAAACTTCCATCAATGTTCACTGAACTAAACAGTGGCTGACATTAGGAAGCCTGGAATGCCCAAATGTGCCATTTCACAGAAGTGTACATGGCGTCTCTGAAGACTACTTTGAATGACAAAAACTCTCTTGGATATAAACTCTGCCAATTTGGGATACCGGCTCCCCTGCAACGTTGCCTGCAGGAGTCCCGGGAACTAAAAAAGAGCAGAGTACAAAAGCCCCCTGGAGCGTAAGGCGCTGACCCGGGAACCTACGGGAAAATAAGCTACTTCCTTCCCACTGCCGGTCCGGTGTGTTGACCCAGCCAAGGCGGGAGCGGCCGAAATCCTGCTAATCGGAGGCAGCGGCCTCCCCACAGGCTCTGCCACGTCTCCAGGCCCCGCAGGGCTGGGCTAAGGTCAGCGGGTGCCCGCCGGTGTCTCCCCAGGCGCCCGAGCGCAGGAAGGTGGAGCCCCAAGGCCAGGGGCGCCGGCCTCGGCACCTGGACGAGGGCGAAGCGCCGGAACGAGACCCCCGAGACGCACCCACGGCAGCACCGCAGCTCGCGGCGATGCGCACCGGCGCCCGGACTGCACCCGGCGGGCTCCACAGCCCGCGCCGGGGAGGAAAGGCCGCGGGGCTCCGGGAAGACCCCCGCCTCCCAGGGGGCCAGCAGCCCGCCCACCTCGCAGGGGCAGGGACAGCAACGCCCGCCGGCGCCCTCCCCCGGGGCTGCCGCCGCCCGCATGCACCCGCTTTGTTCCCAGGCTGACGCTCACCTGGGGGCCCGAGGAGTGTCTGCGTGGCAGCCGGAAAGTGGGGGACAGGGAGCTCAGGGAGTGAGACTACGGTTCGCAGGAGACCAGGAGGAGGCACAGAGGAGTCGCACCGCGCGTCCCCGCCTCCAAGATGGCCCCTGCGGCTGCCACGTCGGCACGCCGCCCGGCCCCGCCCCCGGCCCCAGCCCCGCCCCCGGCCCGCGCCCGGCCCCGCCCCCTCCCACTCGCCGGGAACCCCGCCCCGTCCCACTCGCCGGGAACCCGCCCCTGGCCCGCGTTAAACCTGTCGGAGGACCTGGGTCCGAAGGTCCTTCCTGCCAGGGCTTGGCGCTGCCTTACTCCAGAGCCTTCTCCAGTGGAACTGTCCTCCTATCCCCTGCGCAACCCAACCCTTACCACCAGGAGTGTCCTGTGCCGGGGCCCCCACAGGGATGGGGATGAGCCAGCCAAGGTCATGGAGCTCTGTCCCCACCTCCAGGAAGGGTCGAAACAGGGAACTTATCCCATGTATTTTCAAAGATTCCCAGATAACAGCAGTTGCGTCAGGAGAGAGTGGGGTGGGGACAGGTAGCAGCTACTGTACTGATTTTTCCTCCCATGTACATGCATTACTTTTTTTTTTTAAATGAAAACTAAAGACAAAGATTATCAACAGAAGTCCAAAATCAAGAGTCAGGAGGGCCAATCTGAAAGCTCTAGACCCAGCGGTTCTCAACCTGTGGGTGGCGACCCTTTCACAGGGGTCGCCTAAGACCATCCTGCATATCAGATATTTACATTACGATTCATAACAGTAGCAACATTACAGTTATGAAGTAGCAACGAAAATAATTTTATGGTTGGGGGTCACAACATGAGGAACTGTATTTAAAGGGCCAGAAGGTTGAGAACCACTGTGAGAGAATGCTTTCTTGCCAATCCTTTTTTAACCTCATAAATTCCACTTAAAACAGTACCAGAAACAGTCGATACTCAATGTAGCACATTAAATAAATTGATGACTGGAGTACAGTGGAGAAAATAAGGAATTGGAAGTCAGAAGTCCTGGTTGGGTCTGGGACCACCCTACTGCCAGTTGTGCCGTTTTGTGCCTTGCACAGGTCACTCAGTCTCTATACACCGATTTGTAAAATGGGAATAATATTATCTGCCATTTCTCAGGCAGTTATGAATCAAATAAAATAAGGCATGTGAAAGCACTTTTTAAATTACCGAGTGTTAAACACGTGGAAAATTGTTTCTGTGGTTCCCAAATTCCATCAGGAATCCATTCATAGATTTAACATTAATTTATCTCTTGAACTTGACAGTTTTAAGCATTCTGAAATACTTCACAGAAAAGTTAATACTATTTAACTATGCCCTGTCTTCAGATCTCACTTTGCAACTACCATGGATTGTTCCCTTGGTGGTGACGCTTATCCATGCACTGAGAATGTGTGTAGGTGGCTATCTAGGTTACTCTCCAGAAAGTGCTGTTTGGGGTGGTGCTGAAAATATTACCATCTCCATCCTCTTTGGTTAACACCCTTAATAACGAAAAGGTCTATTGGTTTCTTCATTCAACAAATATTTATTAGTGGCTGCAGTATGCTGAGCATTGGGTACCAGAAATGCAGCAATGAACAAGACAGACAAGGTCCTGACACTTAAGGAGATTTTGTTAGTGGCAAGAAAGGAATATTGGGGACTAACTATGGTTGTGGGAAATATTGATCATGGTCTGTTAACCATGACGGCCTTGTGTTGGTTAAAGAAAGGACATTCTGACCTGGCTGGGAGTTGTACGCCCTCGGAACCTGGGAGTCAACCGTGGAGTGCAGTCCATTCTCATGGAAAGATTAACACCCTTGTTGCCCAAACAATGGAGTCCCACCGCAGCCCCCTACTTCCCAATGCCTATAGTCCAATTTCCCTGTGTAATCTTTGTTCTACCCTATATAAGAAGCTGGTTTATGGGGGGCGGCAGAGCAGATTTTTGTGGATGACCTGCCGCTCTCCCATACTGCCGGCAGTATTGGAATAAACAGTCCTTTCCTGAATCTCCAAGTATGGTTTGTCACTTCCCACCGACCGACCTGATTTCTGCCATAACAGTTTCATTCTCATGAGAGAGAAGGAGGGGCTAAGAACAGGAAAATAAGCAAAGCAAATACTGTTTGTGATGAGCACTTTGAAGATGGTGTGATATACAGTAATGGGGTAAGCCACTTTGTATAAGATGAATGTGAATGGCTTCTCTGAGGAAGTGGGAGTTGAGCAGGCCTGCAAAGAAGCCGGCCTGCGGTTATTTGGACAGAAAGAACAGAACACAAAAAGCCCTGAGGGAGAGCGCTTGACACATTTGCAGAACAGTGAGGAAACTGGGAGTGAGAAAATGGTGAGAAATGAGGTCAGAGAGAGAGCACAGCCAGATAAGATCCAGCCTTATGGGCCATGACAAGGTCTTTGGGTTATATACTGAGAGAAATGAAAAGTAGGTGGAAGGATTTAAGCAGAGGACTGACAAGATTTGACTTCTTTTTCAAATCACACTCTCACTGCAGTATGACTTGAAGAGGTGCGAGGATTAAAGCATGATGGCCAGCAATGAGATGATGGAGGCTTGGAGTAGCTGCCGGGGCAGGAGGAGGGGGTGCATGGTCTGGGACATATTTTGAAAGTTGAGCTGATGATTTACTTTACTGAGCTGATACCCCATTACTGTATTAGTTTCTTAACACTGCCTAAAAGAATACCATAACTCTATGGCTAAAAAAAAAACAACGGAAATGTATTCTCACAGATTTAGGGGCCAGAAGTCCAAAATCAAGAGTCAGGAGGGCCGATCTGAAGGCTCTAGAGAGAATCCTTTCTTGCCAATTCTAGTTTCTGGTAGATCCTTGGCTTGTGCCTCTATAACTCTAACTGTTGCCTCTGTCTTCACCTGACCCTCACCCCTGTGTCTTGTGTCTTACATCTCCCTCTGCCTTTCTCTCATAAGAATACCTGTCATTGCATTTAGGGCCAACCCTAAATCCAAGTGATCTCATCAAGATCCTGGAGGAGCTAAACCCCATTTCCAAATAAGGTCACATTCACAAGTTCCAGGTGGATATATCTTTTGGGGGAGGGGGCACGGACTATTCTACCCACCAAATGGGGCATGAGAGACCAGAATCAACCAAATAAAATGATGGTTTTTTGAAGTTGTTAACCTTGAATTCCATTTATAATATTTTGTTTTATTCACCACTTCTCAAAATTTCAAAAGAATTTTATGTGGCAGGTATTATTATTATTATTCCAATATTAGAAATCATTTTTTCTAACATTATTCCAAAGGAAATTAAGGCTCTGAAAATTCTGTGTAAACCTAGAGTGGGAACTCAGAATCCTTTAGCTGTACCCCGACTTCTCGCCTGCTTTTGGAGTTGCAAGGTAAGAAAATGTGTTAGATGGAAGGCAATAAAGGGCATCAATGGAAAAATTAAATTTTGAACAAAGAACAAAGAATGCTTTTTTTTTTTAGTTGTTGCTAACAGAACTCATCACATTTTTCCTTACAGGAAGCTTCTGATACATAATAGAGTTCATTTTTGAGCTATAATGAGAGAGACAGTATGATAGTGGGATTTTGCTGTTACTGCACACAGGCAAACTATTTCCCACTTGAGTGGAGGGGTTTTTCTAGCTCATTTCAGAGTTAATAGATTTATTCTTAAATATTCCTAAATAATCCATAAGCTTTCTAATATTCATGTTAATAGTGAAGCATGTATTTTCAGGTGGAGAAGAGCAGGACTGAGATTTTGAGCATCTGCAGTGTAACCAGGAGTAGGGGCAAAGCTGAATCTGGTTTGAGAGATGACGGCTCTGCTAAAAGAACAGTCAGTGAGTTCTACAACCATAAGGGACACTCCAGCAGATGTGTGTAGCCAAGTAGAAATCAGGGCCCATCCCTACACCCAACCCACACAATGAGGTTATTTTAAGTTCGTTTAGCAACTAGGAGGGGGGCGGAGGGTTGTCCCAAATATTACATGGGACATACTTGTATTAAAGAATTGCTCATTGTTTATCTGGGGCCAGTGTGGCTCAGTAGAATTCAAATTTAGGAGCCAACAAGCTGTGACTTCATCTGAGAGGCAATGTAGTAAGGATTAGGACATAGATATTGGTACCAGACAACCTGCATTTGAATTATGGCTCTAGCACCTGCTACCCTTGGGCATGTCATTTAAACTCATTGTGTCTTGATTTCTTCACTTATAAAATGAGAACTTCTACTCCTAGGTACCTCGTGTTTTTTACTTGAGGATTAAATGACTTAATATATGGGAAATGCTTGCAGCAATGCCCAACATAGTATTCTTCATGTAGGTGTTAGCTCTTATTCTTTGACTTTTGAGTTATCTTAATATTCATCTGGCCATGACTGGTATAAACCAAAAAGACTTTTATTTAGGTGAGTCCAAGTTGTAATTTCTGAATCAAGGTTTTATTTGCTTGTTTGTTTTCAATTAAAGAAAATTTACTTTAATTATAAATAGATGACTCTACCTCCTAATCTGTACAGGACACTTCCAATTTAGGGCTGTTGACCCAGCATAATTATTATTTTTTAAAAAATATATGTTTATTGATTTCAGAGAGGAAGGGAGAGGAAGAAAGAGATAGAAACATCAATGATGAGAGAGAGTCACTGATTGGCTAACTCCTGTACACCCCACACTGGGGATCGAGCCTGCAACCGGAGTATGTGCCCTGACCAGGAATTGAACTGTGATCTCCTGGTTCATAGGTCAATGCTCAATCACTGAGCCATGCCTGCCAGGCCCAGCATAATTATTAAAAGTACCCACCTTTTATTCTCAAAAGTGTTCCAGTTTGGACAATAAAATCTTAAGTTACAGAGACATTAAGAACTTCTTTTTGCACTTGTGAGTTATAGTGTGAAAATGTTAACCCCTGCCTCTAGCCTGCACACACATAATAGTTATTACCAGAGTCCATTTCAATTTGCTTTAAAGACTAACATCTTTCTAAAATATTTATTTATGAAAACATTCGATGGCTCCTCATTGCCTACATGGTAAAATCTTGAAAAAACTCAACTTACCCTTACTTTCTAGAAGACTCTTCTCCTCTTCCTGCATCTTCCTCCACACCCCCCAGGCACCAGCTGCAAGGCTGAAACCATGTGCCTGTGCTCCTCTCAGTCCTTTCCCTTTCTGCTAGTAGGTACTCCTCCTTTTTCAAGGACCAGATCAAAGCTTTCTTCCATCTTAAAACCTTTCCCATTGCAGGTTTGTTGGTTGTACATATCTATACTCCCTATTTATTTATCCTATATAATAAAGAGCTAATATGCTAATTAGAGTAAACAGCAGAATGACCATCCGGACGACTTTCCAGATGAAGCGGGGGCTGTGAGGGCCGAGTCCCTTGCATGAATTTCATGCATTGGGCCTCTAGTATAACAATGAAAGCATATGAAGCCAGGGCTGTAAGGGCCCAGCCCCTTGCACAAATTTCGTGCATCAGGCCTCTAGTTTGTTTATAAGTTTCTTGATAATATTTTGGTTTTTAAAATATGTTTTTATTGATTTTTAGATAGAAAAGAAGGGAGAGCTTTGAGAGAGACAGAAACATGGTTTATCTCCTACACACCCACTACTGGGGATTGAGCCTGAAACTCAGGCATGTGCCCTGACCAGGAATCAAACCTTGGACTTCTTGGTCCATGGGATGATGTTCAATCCACTGAGCCACACCAGCCAAGCAATACTTTGTTTTTTGAATCCCATGACATTCAAATTCTTAAATATCTTGATTATTTTTAAATTGACTTGAATTTCTAAGAAGACTCATGTGTAGTACAGACATTGCAAAAAGTCCTCATAATCAGCCTTTTCCCTGCTACAGATGGTTTTACTAAAAATAAAAATAACCTGTAGAAGACAGAACAAATACGTTTCTTTTGGAAATTTTGAAATTTTACTTTGAATAAGGAATCATGCAACTAAAATTAGTTGTGCAGCCAAGGAAATACTGTTAATACGCAATAACATATTATAAAGGATTCTAAATTTTTCTAGACTTTTGTGTTTTTACAAAGTTAAAAGTTTGCATAACTTCAACCAATAGCCTCCCAATGCATCAGAACTCCTAAATATTTATACCTGTCAAAGTGTTCCTCAAGTTTTTGAATTCACAGAATTTCCCTATGAATTTTACATCATAGTTTAGAAAAGGAAACAACACAATTATTTTTACATGCACCTCTATGTTTAAGTAATGTTCAAAGTTGTATTCATTCTATGTCGGGGGCCTCCCTTCTCCGCATCCAGCACGGAGAGAGAGAGACCTGAACCGGTTCTATTAAGTTGGAGGCGCTTTTGGGATTAGAGAAAAATGAAAAGACAGACACAAAAATAGAATAAAAGCTTGGGCCAGGTGTGGCATCTGCCCTCTGATGGAGGGACAGATACAGAGAGCCAGCACCGCAAGTAGACTTATTAAATACTTGAATAACAGGAAGTTACATCACATTTGGGTGGGCCTTGAGTTCCTGGCAACATCATGAGATCCATCCCCTTAACACTGGGTGGGAAGGTCAAACTGAGTGGCGTCCTGGTCTATTGACCAGGTCCGCCCCCAGGGCATGGCCTGAGTTTCAGCCAACATATTTAAAGATGCCCGAGTGTTTTGCCAGCGGCCCTCAACACATTCTTTTGGCAATTCAGCATTTCTCTAAGGCTCAGAAGTAAAATGTTGGGAAGACAGCCTAAGAGATGAATGGGTCCAATTCACATAATCACATGTCAGCCTAATTGCATGTAAATAGCCATCTGGTGTCCTCCCACTTGTCTCATAGAACTACTTCTGCGCAGGTCAATAGGGTAAGGTGGGCAACACACCAGATTAGAAATCTAGTACTACTGCCGCTAATTAACAATGCCACCCTGGGATCACTGTATTGGAGCTTCCTTTTCCTCCCCTGACAACTGAAGAAGAGCTAAGTGATTTCTGTAGTGGATGTTAATCATGGTTAGCTCCCTCACAAGACAAGAAAAGAAGCTGATAAGTAGTTATCAACATAGGTGAAAAGTCCTAGGTGAAATGTTAGAAAATGGAATTGAGGAGTTGATGATGATGACGATAATATTCACGGTGATTAAGTAGGTTTCCTGCCCCCCCCCCCCAATTTCAGAAAAATTTGCTCATGATTTAATGTTTCAAATTTGATAATACCAATCAATAGATAAGGGAAACAGCATCTGTTAAAGTTCAAATCTTATTTCTGAAAACTCTTGGTAAATTAGAAATAGAGGGAATCTTTAACCCGATAAAGGACATCTATGAAATAACATAGCAAATATAACACTTAATTGTGAGATATTAGAGGCATTTCATGTAAACTTATAACAATGTAAAAAGATAAAAGTTTTACATAGAACGAAGAAGCAAGACTATTCTTATTTGCAGTAAACATTCTTGTATATATGTCCCACACATAATCCTTGCATCTCTTTCCCAGGCTTCTAGTAATCTCCCCCCAGTCCATGACTTTACACATCTATCCTAGTGATTTCCACATTTATATGTCCTACCATACTTCTCTCCTAAGCTCCACAGCCATTCAATAGCTTTACTTTGGTGTCTGATCAGGGGGCTAATTAAAACTCTTGATGTTTCAAAAACACACACAAAACAATGTGCTCTACTTTCACTGTTTCCATTAAGTAAAAGGCAGCTTTGCTTTTCCGGTTGCTCAGGTAAAAAACACCTTGGATCAAAGTTGACATCAACAGTGATGAGTCATGTTGACAGAATCTGCCCTTGAGATGATGTGATGAAGATGGCACTTGACCTCTGTGGTCTTCCTCAGATGTAATCATGGAAATGGAGCAATCTACAGCATATCTGACCAGTATTCCTCAAAGTTGTCCAAACGAAGATCTGAGAAACTGTCTCAGCCAATGGGAGCTGAAGGTGACCTGACAACTAGTCATGGGGTGTGGAAATAAAGACCGCCCACATGAGAATGAGGAAAGGCTCTTTAGTCAGGGCCTGCAAGGGAGTCAGCCACCATCACTGCATTTGGCAGAGACTCCAAGGCTGGCAGAGGAGTGGAAAGCTTTCTAGTGGGAAATGAAGAGGTTTCAGGTTGCCTGATTAGAGGCTGTGGGCAGGGCTTACTAGAAGTGGGTGCTCTATGTGATTGCTTGGGGGTGCATATTTGGCTTTCTCCAGTTGGACCTAAATTGGAAAGGGGTGGGGGGAGCAGCATATGAAAACTGTCAGCTATTAATTAAGTCCTGGCTTTTGGGGGCTGATTGCTACAGAGGTTGCTGTTTGGGTTCCAAGGCAGGTTGCTATATATTATGGGTCAGAGTTCTGAATTAAAATATGGGCTTTAGTTAATAATTATATAG